GGAAATACTGTGACTGTGTGTCCTATTTGTCTGCTTGTCTGTCCCTTGTCACAGTCTCCCATTTGGTCCCCTAGGGGAGTGTCCACCAGGTGGGAGACCTGCATAAATACTGGGCAGGTAGCCTCATTAAACAGACCACTGCTTGACCCTCAACACGGAGCTCTGTCTCGTCTTTGGGGGGATTTACTGTATGCTGCTAAGGACTGATTGCCAGGAGTGTAAGCCGCTTGGGAGCTTTTCCTGTTCGTCTGGTAGCAGCAATTCGTATGGTTCCTGTTCGTGTATTTGGAGTGCTATCTTATTCCCTTGTATGCCGTTCGGGAGTTTGGAGCATTCACTTGTATGCAGTTCGAGTGTTTGGACCATTCCCTTGTATGCAGTTCGAGTGTTTGGAGCATTCACTTGTATTCCGTTCGTGAGTTTTGGTGATTCTACAGTAGCTGTGCCTGTCTCTGAAAGGGGATTATCGTCTAAGCGTTTTTTTCCCCTTTTGTGCAAAACGGTCCGTTACAATTGGTGGCAAGCGGTGGGATCGTTCCCACAGACTACAGGACAGCTACAGGTGACACCATTCCGTGGATTTTTACAATTTGAGGGCAACGCATGTCCCAGTACAGCGACCCTGACAGCACCGAGATGGAACCAGCAGTGGAGTATGACGAGGGTGCCATGGATGACCGAGATGCAGTCCGTAAAGGCATCTGGTACCAGGCACTGGGTATTGTGGAGTACCAGCGGGGCAAGAGACTCCCCAAGGAAGACCAGCGACTGCAGAAGCGAGTAGCCCTGCGGATGCCCTTTCCTGGGAGAGCAGCCCCTGGATGAATGGGTGAGGAAATTGGAACACCTAGTATGGCAGGAGTTGTGGCTAGAAGATGCCTACCAGGCGCTCTGGTGGTATGGGGCACAGTACCTGCCCTGGACAGCCGAGCATGACAAGCCAGAGGGAGAGGAGTTTGATGGTCCTGGCTTGTTATGGGAGTCGTTTTCAGAGCTCGAATTTGGGAGCCCTACACAAGCCCGGTTCAGTGATCTCTTGGAGTGGAGGGAGAGCAGGTATGACTGGGACGACACTCACAAAATTGAGCAAGACCTGGTCCACCTGGTGACCCGGGAGATGGAGCTAGAACAGATCGTCTAAGCGTTTTTTTCCCCTTTTGTGCAAAACGGTCCGTTACAATTGGTGGCAAGCGGTGGGATCGTTCCCACAGACTACAGGACAGCTACAGGTGACACCATTCCGTGGATTTTTACAATTTGAGGGCAACGCATGTCCCAGTACAGCAACCCTGACAGCACCGAGATGGAACCAGCAGTGGAGTATGACGAGGGTGCCATGGATGACCGAGATGCAGTCCGTAAAGGCATCTGGTACCAGGCACTGGGTATTGTGGAGTACCAGCGGGGCGAGAGACTCCCCAAGGAAGACCAGCGGTTGCAGAAGCGAGTATCCCTGCGGATGCCCTTCCTGGGAGAGCAGCCCCTGGAGGAATGGGTGAGGAAATTGTAACACCTAGTATGGCAGGAGTTGTGGCTAGAAGATGCCTACCAGGCGCTCTGGTGGTATGGGGCACAGTACCTGCCCTGGACAGCCGAGCATGACAAGCCAGAGGGAGAGGAGTTTGATGGTCCTGGCTTGTTATGGGAGTTGTTTTCAGAGCTCGAATTTGGGAGCCCTACACAAGCCCGGTTCAGTGATCTCTTGGAGTGGAGGGAGAGCAGGTATGACGACACTCACAAAATTGAGCAAGACCTGGTCCACCTGGTGACCCGGGAGATGGAGCTAGAACAGAGCTACCAGCAGCTGTTCCAATACAGTGAGAAGGCTCAGCAGGAGAGCAGCATAACAGAGCCAGACCCATTCAGAGGGGACGAGATGGTACAGTTTTACTGGGAAGAACCCCAGGTGGCCGGTGGAAATGGGACCGAGGTCTCTCCACTGGTCCTGCAGGGAATTGGGAGCCCAGTCTCCATTCCTCAGCGGCAGTGTAAAGTGCAGGGAGAGGAGAGCAGCGTCCTCCCTCCCCAGCGGCAGGCTGAGTTACAGGGGGCAGAGGTAGTTGTTCCTGCCCTCCAGCAGCAGAGTGATATGCCGGGAAGGCAGTGTAAAGTGCAGCATCCTCCCTCCCCAGCGGCAGGCTGAGTTACAGGGGGCAGAGGTAGTTGTTCCTGCCCCCCAGCAGCAGAGTGATATGCCGGGAAGGCAGTGTGAAGTGCAGGGAGAGGAGAGCAGTGTCCTCCCTCCCCATCGACAAACTGAGTTACAGGGGGCAGAGGTAGTTGTTCCTGCCCCCCAGCAGCCAAGTGATATGCTGGGACGGCAGTGTGAAGTCCAGGGAGAGGAGAGCAGTGTCCTCCCTCCCCAGCGGCAGCGTGATTTTTTGGGAATTGGGAGCCCAGTCTCCATTCCCCAGCGGCAGCACAGATTATTGGGAATTGGGAGCCCCGTCTCCATTCCCCAGCGGCAGAGTGTCCTACCGGGAATAGAGAGCCTCCTTCTCCCAGCAGCAGGACTCTGTATTGGGAGCAGAGACAGTCGGTCTCCCTCCCCCGCGGCTGGAAGTATGTATGGGAGAGGAGCTTGTTACCCCCTCTCCCCAGCGGCAGCTTAATGTACCAGGGGGAGACAGTAATATTTTATTTAGTTTTGTAAAATGCTTCCAAAATTAAACAGAATAACAAAATAAATAACAAAATAACAATAATAAACAATCAACTGAAATAATACCCAATTCAAACATAATACCAAATGAAACATAAATACCCCAAAATTAAACATAAATACCGAAATAAAAACTCAGGAAGGGGCACTAATAGGGGAGTAAACTTATACCAAATTAAATAACTGGGAATAACAGGGAGAGGGATTAACAGAAAAGGGGGGGGGGGAACTAAATCATAAGGGGATAAATTAAAAGGCGGGGGGCTCCATTACTTCATGGAGCCTTGGGGAGGGAGAAAAAAGGCTGAAATGCTCCTGAAGGAGCTCTTACATAACAAGGGGGGGACAAGGGGGGACCCAATTGACCTAGAGTCCACAGCCAGCTAAACACAAACATAAACCAAGCGTGAAATAAAATACACACATAAACATAAACAAACCCATTACCCACATGGAGTCCTTTTCTCAGTTCATAAAACCCACCAACCACATGGAGTCCATCCCTCCGTCCATCAACACCAACCCACCACCTACACTTTAAACCCAAACTTTAAACCAAACCCACCACCCAAATGGAGTCCATTTTCAATTCATAAAACCCACCACCCTCATGGAGTCCTTTTCTCAGTTCATCACATCCAAACCCACCACCCACATGAAATCAAAATTTTGTCCATAGACCCACCACCCACATGAAATCCAGTTTGTACACCACCCTCAAGGAGTCCATCCCTCTGTCCATAAAGAAACCCAGTGTTTTTTTTTTTGTTTTTTTTCCCCACCCAAAGTAAATTTTTCAATTTGTCCATACACCAGAAACCCACCCTAACCCAAACAATACCAAAAATAACCTGTGCATAACCATAACCATAACCTAACTACACTGCACTACCTAGACGCAGAGGAAGGTACTCGTCTGCTAAAGGTGGCAGCCTTCCATGAAAAGAAAAACCAGTTCAAAATCTACGGGGGAAAGGTGAAGACAGATTTGGAATTCCCTTCACCAAGACAAGGGCGCCTATGGAGCGGTTCAAGGCGGGTGGACCTTGAGATTTCGCCACAAACGCTGCCAAATGGTGGGATCCATAGAGGCCCTTTCGGTGGTATAGATCCCACGAACCGCCCTCAGAATGTCTGCTACCACCACCTGACAGGAAAGGTCTTTATGTTGAAGGGAAACCTGACACCTTGCCATCCAAGTGAAATACTTAACCACTGAACTGACTACATAAAGAGTGCCCAAATCAAAAGCCCTCCCCTTGAGTTGGACGTCCCGTACGCCCACTCCGCATAAGTCCAGCGGGATAAGCAGGGGATGCCTAAGGCGGCTGAGACCTCTTTGTAGACCTGTACGTTAAAGGGGCACTCGAGGAGGAAGTGGTCCATGGACTCCACTTCCCCGGAACATTCCACCCGAGGACAACCACGATCCGTTATGTTCCTGTACTTCAAGTTCCCTCGAACGTAAAGTCTACCGTGGAAGGAGAGAAACGCCACGTCTCGGTATTTCTCCGGAAGGCGCCTGGAGTTGATGTTTTTCAACCCCGAGGCGAGAGTACTTGGCGGGCAGTCCTTCAAAGCAAGCTGAATGCCAAAGTGGGTGGCCAGGACCCTCCCGTCGAGAAGCTTCTTGGGAGTGTCCCGAACCTCCTCCACCGTGACGTTCCACCTGCGCAGAATTCCCACTCCCTCGATGACCGAAGACGGAAGATAGCTAGAATGCCGAACTCTCATGCTCTTCACCCTCCCACCCTGAAACCAGTCCACCAGGAAAGGTGTGACCCACTCCCTGAATATACATACCCAGCCAGGCTGCTCATCCTTCAGGAGAGCCCCAAAGTTCCTTTTCAGGAAGTTGTTAGTTAAAAAGACGATGGGGTTGACCATGGCCAGACCCCCGTCCTTTCTGGCCAGGTAAGTGACCTCTCTTTTGATGAGGTTCAGCCTGTTCCCCCACAACATGCGGAAGAACAGCGCAAACATCCGAGCGTGGAGGGACCTGGGCAAAAGGAAGATGTTACTGACGTAGCCGAATACGGTCAGAACATAGGTTTTGATTAGGTTCACCCGTTCTCTGAACGTCAGTTTCCACCTGTGGCTCTCCTCCACCTTGCTAGAAGCTATGGCAAGCCGTTCGGTCCAGTTCCTGAGAGCCAGATCCCCTGGTCCGAACACCACCCCCAAGATCTTAATTTCAGGCTGGGCCCTCGGGTCTGGTCCCCCTCCTTCCCGCACCAGAAAACTACGCTCTTGTCCCTGTTGACACGAGAGGCTGAAGCGGCAGAATACGCTAGGATTAAATCATCCACCTCCGTGGCCTCCCGAGTATTGGAGACCACTATGGAGATGTCATCAGCGTAGGCAACAACCCGTAAAGGCCTCTCCGGTATATCCCCCTTTCTCCGTCCCTGCACTTCTCGAGGGCTTCCCTGACTTCGAAAACGGCATCAAAGACAGTTCTGCCCTCGATTGAACAGTACTGGGAGGTGGATAGGACACGCCTCGCTAGGCCCTGTACTCGTTTCATCAAAATCTTTGCCAGGACCTTCCTGTCGACATTTAACAGGGATATGGGGCGCCAGTTCCCCACATCCGCTGTGTCGAGCACGTTCGGCTTGGACAGCAAGATCAGGGCAGAAGTCCTCATCGAGGGTGGCAATAATCCTTGAGCCAAGCTCTCATTAAACACCTCGGTCAGATGAGGGGCCAAGAGGTCGCAGAACTGTTGGTAAAACTCGGCCGTCAGACCATCAGGACCTGGCGACTTACACTTGTTCTGCTGTTGGATACTCTCTGTGACCTCTTCTATGGTGATCTCGCTGACCAACTCGTCAAAAGAGAGGTCGCTATGCTCAGGGAGCGTGAGCTCGCTCAAGAAGTCATCCACCCTTCTCCCGTGGGAGGTTCCCTCCTCGCTACATTGGGGGCTGCCCTTTCCGAGGAGCTCAATATAGTAGTCGCGGACCACCTTCAGAATCCCGCGAGGAGACTCCTCTAGGGTCCCGTCGGTGCCCCGCAGACTAGGGATGGACTTGGTACCTTCCTTCCGCTTGCAGCTAAGATAAGGATCGGGCGAGCGGTATGACCCATGATCTCTCTCTTTTACAAGGGAGGCGTACCTGTCATACTGATAACTCCTCATCAGGTTTTTAACTGCCGCAATGTCCTCGGGTCACCTCCCTGCGAGATCAGGATGTCTAACCTCCCAAGCAAGCCCAGATACATCTTGTACCTGGAGGACTGCATGTTCCGGGCGAGATTGTGAAACAGCCGTTGAGTTCTGGCCTTCACCATCTCCCACCACTCAGACTTCGTTTGGCCTAAGTCGGCCAATGTCATCTGATCGTGAAAGAATTCCATGAAGGCTTGCTGAACCCTCTGTTCCACCAGGAGGTCTGAATTTAGCCGCCAGATCCCTCTACCCTTAGGTGGGGTACTATAGACGTTCAACTCGCAAGACAAAATGTGATGGTCGGAGAACTCCACCGGTGTAAGCACGGGTGCCGCCACCGGGAAATTCTCCTTAAAGAAAAACCTATCTATCCTACTCTGACAGCTACCTCTGTGATAAGTGTACCCACCCGTGGGATTGGGAGTGTGATGAAGGTACACATCGACCAATCCAGCCTGACTAACCATCTTATTTAAAAAATAGGAGTCATACCCCAGCCTCTGAGTGGCGTCTCTCCTGTCTTGAGGCCTAGTTATGGTGTTAAAGTCACCGCCAAACAGGATTTGCTGGGATGTATAAAGGTAAGGCTCTATCTCAATAAACAGGCGCTTCCTCTCCCACTTAGATTGGGGGCCATAGATATTAATTATCCTGAAAGGTTGCCTGCCCATTGAGACATCTAAAACCACACACCGTCCTTTTTGCAACTCAATAACCCTGTTGATGCTAACATCAACGTCCTTAAATAGGATGGCGATTCCCCCATATCTCTCTGTGGCTAGAGAGAAGTAGGAGGGCCCCCATCTCCAGTCCCGCTTTGCAGCGTGCAGGGCCGCGAGGGTTTCCAGCCGGGTCTCCTGTACCAAGATGACATTGTACGGAGCCCGGCTGAGGTGGTCGTAAACCAAAAAGCGGGCCCTGCTGGACTTAATGCTGTTTACATTCACCGTAGCCACAGAGAGTACAGGAAAAGTCGCCATAAGGGCATTAAGTATAAGGAGACTTTCCCTTCCTTCTGCGGTACCCCTCCTCCTCCGTGTCGAACCGAGGAACCTCTTCACTGAGACTCCGGGATACAGTGGCCCGTCGTCTCTCAGAAGCACCTCCTGTCCCACCTCAACCCCTGCCACCACCTCGGGGAGGTTCGCCATCTCCTCCTCGTACTCACAGTCGGCCCAGCTGGAGGACAGTGCCTCGTACCTGTTAGATACGGGCACCGGGGCCTCCTGCAAGCCCGAAGAGGAGGATGACGCCCGTGCCACACCACCCTTATAAGTGGCGTCTCCCCCTTTCGGGGGTTTCGCCGCAGGGGGTATGGCGATCTTCCGGGGTGAGGGCAGCGTCGAGGTCTTGGAGGGGGGGGGTTTCTTACCTTTCACCGTGCTCCACTCTAGGGACTGTGCATCTAAGGGACGTGCATCTGGGGACTTTTCAGTGGGGGTAACCTTCACCGTGGAGAATTTAGGAGGGGGGGGCCTAGGGGGAGGGGGTCTAGGGGGGAGCCATAATGGCTGTGGAGGTAGTGCGTTCTCTACGTACACTTTTCGTGAGGGGACGTGAACTTGTGGCCTTCCCAGGGTCCTGAGATGTTACAGAGACCGAGGGGAGGATGGGTTGTTGCTGGGGCAGGGAAACCCTTGTGCCAGAGATGGGCATTGTAGATGACGATGCTACCTGAACCCCTAACCCAGCAGAGTCCATCTCCACCGGCTCCTGACTCCAGATGGACTCTACATTGTGCTGGGCTTCGGGGCAGGTGCGGTACGTGTGACCCATCTCTGAACACAGATGACACCGGATCTCCCTGCAGCTGTCCCAGAGGTGCCCCACAGCGCCGCACATAGTGCATTTGAGGACCGTACAGGCATTGCTGTAATGCCTGTACGATCCGCACTTGTGACATACCCTGGGCTGACCAGGGTAAAAACAGGATACCCGGTCAGCCCCGATGAAAAAACTATTAGGCATATGCTGTGTGACACCTCGAATCTCCCGCAGCAACACTGAAACAGTCCATCCGCCTGTCCAAATCCCATCCTCATCTAAGATCTTAACAGGGGGGGGATTTAACATCCCCAAACCTCTTAGTCCAAACAAGGATGTCTGCTATGGGGATGGATTCATTTCTCACCAGGAAAGTGACCTTCTTAAGACCCTGGCGAGAAATGGCCACAGCGGTGAATCCTGCCCACTTTGTACCCTGTGCAGACCTGGCCGCTTCCCACCCAGCCCAGAAGCGATCCAGGAGCTGCAACGTCATAAAGGAGACGTCGAACTCCCGGGTGCCCGAGGCATGGATGAGCGCGTACAGGTCCACGGGCGCAAATCCCATATCCTTTAGCCGGGTCACCAGCCACCGTCTGTCAGGCACCTAGGTCTCACCCCCACAGATGAGCCGTACCACGTTCCTCCTGTTCCCAAAGGAAACCTGAGGACGCGTAGCAGGCCCGTCCGCAGAGAGGCGAGGTGGCCCAGATGCCCAAGCATTGGGCGCACCGGGACCCGCCGTCTGGGAATGATTCGGACGGACTCCCCTCGCTGAACCAGAGGCCTCAGTCACACCAGAACCCTGGGTGACAACCTGGGAGTGCCTTAGGGGAACCCGTGTACCTGCTTGTGCGTCTAAACTATTTATAACCGCGGCACCCTTTGTCAGGGTGCCTGTGCCCGTGCTCGTGCCCGCCACCTGTGTACCAACTAACTCCAGTGAACCAGGGGCAGGGGCAACATAACCTGAGTCGGGGGCAACATAACCAGGGGCAGGGGAAACAGTACCAGGGGCAGGGGCAATAGTACCGGGGGCGGGGGCAACATAACCAGAGGCAGGGGCAACAACACCAGGGGCAGGGGCAACAACACCAGGGGCAATAGTACCGGGGGCAGGGGCAACAACACCAGGGGCAGGGGCAACAACACCAGGGGCAGGGGCAACAACACCAGGGGCAGGGGCAACAACACCAGGGGCAGGGGCAACAACACCAGGGGCAGGGGCAACATCATTAATACAAACAGGCTGGCTGTGGACCTTTTTACTAAGGCCAATAGGTCCCATCATTACATTTACATCCATACTCCCATCCTCCTCAGCCATCCCTAAACCACCAGTGGAGTCAAACACAATGTTAGTCATACTTTTCTTACCTCCACTGGCGGTTTCCTCAGTATGGACTGCTGGCTGAGGATGATGGGAGTCCCCTGCAGTCCTGTCTTCCATAGCGCCAGCGGCACCCGCGGCACCAGGAACAACAGGAACAACAGGAACAACAGGAACAACAGGGGGACTGGTTACACATTCAGACATAAGGGGAACACATAGGGAAGCAGGGGGAACAGACTGGAAGACAAACTTGGACACATCCAGGGAAACAGACTGGGGGACAAACAGGGGAGGAGACTTGCTGGTAGGGGAGAGCAGTCGAGCTTGCTCCAAGGGAGCAGAGGGAAAAGGAGGGCCATCACCCTGCTCCAGACTGCTCCATCCAGTGCCATCCTGCCCAGCAGGCGCCTGAGGACAGGAGGCAGAGGTACCAGCCACTCCAGGGGACGCAACCACACGGAGAGGAAGGTCAGAGGGAAGGCAGGTAAGGGAGGGAGTGGGAAGGGAGCAAGGGAAGGACCCCTCCATGGGATCACCGGTACACGCCATAGTACCGGCGGGGATGGTCTCCCTGTCACCATGGAGGGCGGCGGGGGGCCCAGATACTTCCACAGAAGCAGGTTGTGCAGGTTTCTGGGGCATACAGATGTTGCCACCTGCAGGGTTAGTATCCCTGGCCCCAGGCTTCTGCAAGGCCTGAACATCATCATTGTACATATACTCAGCATTTGAGCACTCACTCTCCTCTGTGGAATCTCCAGACCCCCTGACAGAGGTCTCAGGCTGACGCCGGGCAATGTTTTTCTTTTTCTTCTTTTTGTCCTTTACGGAGTCCTCCCCAAGTTCGTTTCCAAACTTGAGGAGAGACTCCTTAATCAGCCCTCGACCTCTGTCCTGCACTTTCAGCTGCCACTCTTCACCTTTCTCTCCGTCCCACTCCTCTTCACTGTCCTTCTCTTTGGCCTTCCCCTCCGTCTCAGCAGCGCCCCCTGGAGTAGCAAGGGCAGAGGTAGACGGCTCCCCAGGTGAGTGATGGGAGTTGGAATCCAAGTCCTTGCTGGACTCCTCACCTGGGGACATGTCCCTCCTGCCCTCCATAGCCCTCTGCCTCCTGGACCTCGTAGCGTCCTTGGCTCTCTGTTGCAGGATGGCCTGGATGTCTGCTATTTTCTTTTCAGTCTGGAGCAGGGTGTAGGATAGATGCTGCTCCACTAATTTTTTCTCAGCTATAGCGGCCCTCAAAGGACCTCTTTTGTAATTAGAGGTCCTGTTTGATTTTTCCTTCTGCTCCCTTAGCTCTGCCTGGACCCCAGCTAGGCCCGAGTCTGCCTCGGCATGCTGGGCCTTCAGGGACACAAGCAGACCCCGGAGCCTGTCAGAAGGTAGCCCCAAAAAAGACCCTTGCCTCAACCCCCTCACCCTTTGCAGCCTCAGCATAGGTGAGGGAGGCCTGAGGGGTCTTGCTGGCACTAGCCACCTCAGGGGGGGTCTCAGGGACTACCTCCTCCTCGGTACCCTCTCCCACCTCCAGGGACGGGGGGGCTGTTCTAGGAAGTGGAGGCCACTGCTGGCAAGTTCACGGCACTCAGCCAGCAGCCCAGAGAGCAGCTGGATATCGGCCCTGGTGTGGGCCGTAGCTCCCTGGGGGACCCCCACTTCCCTTTTCCATGCTGTAAGCTTCCTAGACATCGCCCCCGCCAGTTCCTCCAACAGGGAGACCTGGTTTCGTATTTGCCGGGAGAGGGCCTGATGCTCAGTCCAAGACAGGCCCCTGGTATCCGCCTTACCTTCCCCAAAAGCCAGCACTGCCTGCAGCTCGTCCAGCCTGACCTTCCATCCTCAGGCTGGGGAGGAAGGCCCGAGGGCCATGCTTGCCTAGGCCCAGGCAGAGCCCCTTGCTGTAGTAATTCCAAAGCCCAGAAATCGAGCTCCAAAAGCAGCCACAAACGGGTGTGGTCCTGGTAACACACAGATGAAGCACAGAGCAGCTCCCTCTCCAGCAGTAATGGCAAACTCCTCCTACTCCAGTGGGAGGGGAGACAGTAAGCCCCACAACTGTGCAGATGGGACCATGGTCTCTGCACGTCCAGCACAGGGGGTAGGGACGGTCGGTTCTGCCCCCCAGCAACAGGGCTGTTTAGCCAAAGGGGAGACAGTCGATCTCCAGCAGCAGGGCTGTGTATCTAAAGGGGAGACAGTCGGTCTCCAGCAGCAGAGCTGTGTGTCCAAAGGGGAGACAGTCAGTCTCCAGCAGCAGAGCTGTGTATCTAAAGGGGAGACAGTCGGTCTCCCCCTCCAACAACCAGGCTTCAACCAGGCTACCCTCCCAGTAGCGCTGGCAACAGGGCAGAGTGCCGCTGGTCTCTGCCCACGCAGCAACCTACCCAGTCAGTGTACCCGTACCCAGCACAGCTGTGGTGAGGCACCTGGACATGGACAAGCTTCTCCTTTACCCAGGTGTAGTAACCATTTATTGTGGGTGGGCTGTGCTGTTGATTATGTTTTGTGGGTGGGCTGCTGGACTAACAAGGGCACTGACCGGCAGGAGGTCAGATACCTTGTTAGTCTGTTTGGAAAAGGGGAGAGATGTGACGAGACCAATCTCGCCACATTACATTGGAGAAGCCTGGTTGCTCGCCTGCTGCCTTTGGACTATGGCCCCCTTTTAAAAGACTTTATTTTGCCTGCAGAAAA